ATCTTAATAAAAAGTCATATTTTTTAGTGGTAGATTCGTATTCAAAATGGGTAGAATATGCAGAGGTTAATGGTTATACCACTAAGATAGTTATTAGGAAATTACAGGAATTATATGCCCGATTCAGTTTGCCAGACACAATAGTGTCTGATGGGGGTCCAGCCTTCGTAAGTGATGAGTTTAAACAGTTTTGGGCTGAGTCACAGGCCCAGAATATTCTTACGCCGCCGTATCAACCCAGCTCAAATGGACAAGCTAAGAGGATGGTGGTCGTTGTGAAGAATTGGATAAGGAAATCGGTAAATTATAAGGATGGGTGATTAGCTCGTCAATCTCTCGAAATCGAGAGGGGATGACCCCTACGGAATTGTTTCTTGGTAAGAGGACAAGGGTTCCATCGGATTTTTTGAAAGTAAAGAACCAGGAGAATGTAGTTCGAGAAGACCCGGAGATTAAATTCGGTGTAGGGAAAAAGGTGTGGACCCGCCTATGGGATGGGAGTGGCAAGAAGTGGGCCAAGGGAATTATCGGGGAGAATAGAGGCTCGAAGTTAAATTTGGTGCAGCTGAAAATGGGAGATACTGTGATGAGACACAATGACCATATAAAGCCCAGGGAGTCCCCGGGCGAAAATTTAATGCCAAGGTTATATATATAATTTGGGAAGAAAGATTGGGGCGTTTAACCGATTATCAAGTCGATGAAAAACTTAAAGGGGGTTGTTCCCGCTTATTTGATTATTTGTGTAATTTAAAGACGAGAATAAATACATTTGAAAATATGAAACATCAACTCGAGGAATTGGCAAAACTTATACGATTATGGGAAAGTACGGTTTGCGATTTGAAACCTATTAGTAAAGATAATTTCAATAGTCAATTGAATGCAACTGATATTTTCTGGGAAGGCAGGTAAAGAGAAACCAAAAAAATATATTTTAATATCTTATTTAATTTATCTTTTAATTTTATAAAAATTACTACTTCAAGATCTTTACAATTTTTACAGCTATATATATATATTATTATTTACATATTAACATTAATATAATTTAAAAGGTCATTAAAAAAAGAAAAAATTTTTACAAAAGGTTAAAATAAAAAATATTCAAATTATAGGTCATCAAAAAAAAGAAAAGATTTTTACAAAAGGTCATAAGGTACAAAGTAAAAAATATTCAAATTATATATTAACATTTCCCCCCCCCCTTTTTATGTCTTCTTTCCTCAGTTACTTATCTTCACTTCCAGTCATTCGTTTCTCAATTGCTCCATTAGTCAATTGTTCGTATATCTTTAGATTGTTTGTTTGACCATCTGATTATCGTTTGTTGAATCGATTATCGAACATCATGAAACATCGTTGGTTGAACATCATTGTTGAAACGTTGTTGGTTGAACATTGCTTGTTGATTTGCTGTTTGTATTGATCATCCCATTTCTCTTTCAAAATTATATATATATATTTTTTTACAAAATTTTATTTATTTATAACAATCATTTTCTATGTCGTAGGTCATATTCTCGCTTTTGAACTTGACTTTGAATTTTTGAACTTTTGACTTTGAATTTTCGAATTTTGAACTTGACTTTGAATTTTCGAATTTTGAACTTAAACTTGAACTTGTTCACTTCTTCCACCTCTAAAAATTTTTTCTCCTTTGTAGAATTTTCATTTGATATTTTGTTGTTGTTTAGCCTCATTCATATCTTTTCATTAGCTTGTTATCCTTATCATCTAATCATTCGCTTGAACATCATCTTCACACTAGCTTGTTCATCTCGTTATTTATTATCATTATTATCAATGTTTGTAAATATATATTATGATCAATATATCTCAAATAAAATAATTTTGGATGATAATGGAATAAATAATTTATCAGCATTCATAAGAATAAGAATAATAATTTGGAATAATAATAGAATATTTGGAATTGTCTCATTTTATATTATAATTTTTTATTTATTATTTAATTATTTTTATTTTTAAATTTTACTCTTTTATTTTTCAATTTAAACACTTTTTTTATATCATAATTACTCTTCAACTTGTTCTTTATAACAAAATTTCTCTTTCTCCTTCCATTTTCAACATACGATCTCCATATCGTACTCCTAATCTCTCTTTCAACATCACGATATTTAATCACCTTTGTTTTAATTTTTTTTCCCAAAGTTTTTTAAAATTTTTTATTGTTTATAAAATTTTTTATTTTAATATTTTCTTCAATTTTTATTTCATTATTGTTTTTAATAACTACTATTTCTTCAATTGTTATCAAATGATTTATTTCTTCTAATTTATAAGAATTTATTTCTCTTTTAACATTTGGTATTAATTTACATAATTCAATTTTATTCAAGTTTTTATTATTATGATATTTATAATTATAATTTTCATGCTTTTTATTGTAATATGCACCTTCATAATTTTTACTATCTACTTTACTATTTTCCTCGATTATATTTACAATTTTATTAAGTATGTTCCCAAAAACTTTTATCCACGTCCTTCCCAGAATTGCAATTTTGTCATTTTGGACTACAAAAGCATCTAAGTTTTGAGTTTTGTCTTCATATCTCACTTTTATTTTAACGATTCCTAGCACCTCTAATCTTTTCCCATCATAGCCAGTCAGTTTCGTATCCGATTTATTCAAGACTTTGATTCCTATCTTTCTAGCAATATTAATCGGCAATATCGAAAATCGTGACCCGGTGTTGATCTGCATGACTATTGGTAAATCATTAAGATATATCGTAACTTTGTAATCATCATTTGCCTTGTCATCATCATCCATTCTATTTACGTCAAATCTGTTGTTGTATGACTGATTATTGTTCTGATTATTATTGTATCTAGGTATGTATCTCGATTCGTTCTGATGTCTATAATATCTATAATTATTTTCATTATATTTGTAATTATCATTATTATTATATCTATAGTTATCGTAGTTATAATTATTTTTATTGTTAAATCTTGTAAAATTATTATACGGTCCTGGCCCATTATACCCCCTATCATTATCATAAACTCTAGGATTATAATTGTTTCTATATCTTGGTTCATAATTATTTGTATGTCTCGAATCTTCATAATTATCGTATCTCGGTTTCCACTGATATCTATGTACGTGCGACTTCATCCCTTTATCGTGCTCAACGTATTTCATCATCCTTAAACTTTTTTACGAAATAATCTTCTAATTAATCTATGAATTTTGTTTTATCATTATTGTCCTATTTTAAATATTTCATCATTAAAATTTTATTATATTTTTATTCAATTTTATATTTTAATCATCTCTTACGTGTTTTTAGAATAATATTAAAATCATTTTCCATAATCCTCTTTCGTCTAGCTTCACCATGTTTCACTATAATTTGTAGCGTCTTAATTCTCTGCCACCATGATATTTTCTGGAAAGGCAGGTAAAGAGAAACCAAAAATAGGCATGTTTGGAAACGAGGCCCTCAATTTCATCAAAATCATAGGAAAAAAAATGAGACAGATCTCAGGGGACCCCAATGAAGGATTTTACCTTCGCCAACAGATTTCCCTGGAAATTTGCCTGTCTAATTTTTTAAGCATTCACTCTTCTCTTGGATGATATATACCCACCTTTTTTTTAAATATATATTTTTTTTTTATAGTCCTTTTTAATGTCTTCATAGATTATATATATATTATATATTTATTTTTTTTATATTTAATTTTTAATATATCCATTTTAATATATATTTTTTAATCCTCTGTAAATTATATGAATTATTTTATAATATTTTTTTAAAAAATAATAAAAAAGTCGAATATTTTTATATTAAAAAAAATAAAATATCTTTATTTAATTTATTTTTAATTTTATAAAAATTACTACTTCAAATCTTTACAATTTTTACAGCTATATATATATATATTATTATTTACATATTAACATTAATATAATTTAAAAGGTCATTAAAAAAAGAAAAGATTTTTACAAAAGGTTAAAATAAAAAATATTCAAATTATAGGTCATCAAAAAAAATAAAAGATTTTTACAAAAGGTCATAAGTTACAAAATTCAAATTATATATTAACAGCAACCATTAAAGGTTTACAAGATCTGCAAAAGTACGCAGATAGTTATGACATTCAAATACCATTAAATTTGATTACGTATATTGATTAAGGTATAACTCTTGAGATATACACAAAAGATTATATGGATAAATGCTGATTTAAAAAGGCAAGAATGTTAATAGTGTTTTGCCGATAAAAGTTGTGTTAAACATTTTTTATTCTTTCTCTTTTTATTATGAAAAAGAGTATATTAGTGGTACATAATGGCTTTTAGTTGGTGTATAATGAACTCTTATCTTTGGCCGGGTCATTTAGAAAGGAGAAAATTTAATTTTTGTTTCGTCGATAAAATTTGTGTTAAACATTTTTGATTCTTTCTCTTTTTATTATATCCTTGTGGTATGTTTTTATCTTGACCAGCCGGCTGCAAGAAAAAAAGAAGAACGAAAGGGATATTTTTGAAATGTGGGATGGTAGATGATTGTGTCCATGCATGTGTTGTGTTGTTTTATATTTTTTTTTCCTTTTTCCACCCTCTTTAATTTATATTTTTAATATTCCATGTCTGTTTATTTTTTATCTTTGCCAAGCCGCAAGAGGAGATGAAAAAACGGAAGAGAGTTGGTAAAAGATTTCATGGTGCTGAATTTCCGCCCTGCACATGTTTTATGTATTTAAAAAAAAAGGAAGGTTTTTATGGAGTCTCTTGGTTAAGGTTGCGGTTCTTTTTTTTAAAAAAAAAAAATTAATTAAATTGTAAAAAAAAAAAATAACTATAATTTAAGTTTTTTTTAAAGTTTGTATTATTATATATTGCATATTTTATAAATTTTAAAAGAGAAAATATGAATAATCGTTTATTTTTTTTATTATTGCTATAAATTGTCTGTATACTCAAATTCTAAAGGAGAAAATATAAGTGATCTCTTGAGTTTTTGTAATCCCAATAACGCATTGTCATTGAATATCCTCAACGCCACCCGATGGAGACTACGTCAAAATTGGTGGATATGGGAGAATTTTATCTGCAAGTGACATTAATTCGCAAAAACAACGGAATGTCGCTGGGAGAGGGTGCCGGGAACGAAAATCAGCTATCCGTTCCAGAGAGCAAGGAAAAAATGGTGCTACAACTGCCAGGCGGATGGGCATTTGCGTCACCAGTGCTCGATGCCCCCGAAGGGAACCCGAGTACCTATGGGAACCATGTCCAACAACTCGATGGCGGACGCTAGTGGAACTCACAAGAGGGTAGCTTGCGAAGTTGGAGTAAACCAACCGACGTCCTCCGCAAACTGGGTGCCGGTACAAACATTATTCGGGAATCTCAGTTGTCGTTGCCGATTCGTGATACAAGTGAAAGTCAAAGGAACGTCCAGGGCACCGGAGGTATGTGATTTATTGCAGCTAGCAGTGGCTACTATCGCATCCAGCGCTCACAATCCCGCCATGACCACTTTCTTTGGGAACATGAACGGTGATGAGGGACTAATCCTATGTCAGAGTAAGAGACAGTTATACATGAATGTTCGTTTGTACTAAATTAGTTTGAGATTAGTTTTTTTGTTTATAAATTATAGCAATTGGTAATGATAAATATAATATTATTTTTTTTGGTAGCCATGCCATTGGCCCATAAAGGGGTGGCATGTCGTTATGTAATGCCAATCAACCGACTTAAACAAGATTGATTGGATAATAATTAAATTTAGATAACATGTGATCGGATATTATATTTTTTAAATGAAATTCAAAAGAAATCATGATTAAATATTCTTATGATTTTTTAAATCATTTTTTTAAAATTTTTTTATGATTTTTGTTTAGAAATAAAAATGATTTTTTAAATTTTTTTATGATTTTTGTTTAGAAATAAAAAAGATTTTTTTGTAATTAAATTTATATAATACTAGAAACTAATAAAATTTTTGGTTTGTTATCCTATCATCTTGATAAAGCTTTTGTGAACATCATCAGTGCAGATTAAGAATAAAGGGTTGATAAGTAAGGGTTTTTTATAGTAGGGACTAGCTAGTTGGCGTACTTCTTAAGAAATTTTTATTTACAATTAAAAATATTTTGAAAAATTTTGAAAAAATTAATATAAATTAAAGTTTCTTCATAAGTTTGTCATAAAATTGTTTGAAATTTATAAGTAGTGTTATTAGCCTAAAAAAATTAATTAGTCTTAACCGAAAAATCGCCTAAAACTAATTAGACAAAAAGTAGGGATTGGGAGCTCCGTTTGTTTTTGGTGATTGTGAGACTCATGTGAGTCAGTTATATATATACATTTTCGAAAAAAAATTTTGTAAAATTTAATATAATTTTTTTTGTTCTTGTTTAAAAGAAAAATTAATTTTGAAAAATTAATTAATATTTTGTTTCGTGTGTCTTGTTTGAAAAAATAAAATAAATTAGTTAATAATAGAAATTCTTTAGGACGGTAATTCCAAAGGGCAGTTAAATTATTCAGGAAGGACATTCCAAAGGGCACAACGTAAACAATAATATTTATATATTTTTTATATTATACTATTTTAAATAAAAGTATTGCAATTGTAATAAGAGTTGTTTATATTTTGATAATATAATATGTATATTAATTATAATTGTTAAATTATATTTTTTTTAAATCCGTTATGTTTAACAAAAATTACTTATATTTTACACTAATTATATTTTTTTTAATACAGTTATTTCCAATAAATTTTTATTATAATAATCTATATAAAATTATACATTTTGAAATTTAATTTATTGTATATTATCATTAAAATAAATATATAGTTAAATAAATGGATGTTATTTATGTGAAGTATCTTAATACTAAATAAAATCTATAATTCTGTAAAATTTTGTTATATACAAAAATTTAATTAAAATAAATAATTATAACATAGATTAAGATATATTGAGTGATATCATAAAAAATAGAAGGTTTCAGGTGCAATTTTTTTTTTCTTTCTACACTGAATGGATTGAATTAATTTACAATTGAACACTAAACACTGGTAAAATTTTCAGAATAATGCTTCAAGTCGCTATTAATCATAAATTTGGCCAAAATTTTTTTATTAATATTTTTTCATTTATGCGGGCTACTTAAGTGGTTAGACACTAATAAAGCACTAAATATTGGTAAATTTTAGAATAGTATTTCGAATTGTTCAGTCAACTTCAACAAAGATGTTATAAAGATAACTACTAAAAAATTATATTGTTAATTATTTTTAGAGGCCCGGCCAAAGGCCGGAGTAAAGAGAGTTTGACTTCCTCTCCCCCCCCCCCCATTCCCACCCTACCATGGATAAATCCTGGCTACACCACTGGAGTTTACACACAAGAATCTTCAAATCTTTATTATAGTGAAACATTTTTAAGAAAAAAATAAAGTGATTCTAAATAATATTAAATAGACATTTATTATTTGTTGCCTTTCATACTGAAAAGGTTGCAGATATCAAAGGCAGAAATCAAATGTTATAAACGTATATTACGTCAATTTATTGATATTTAAATTTAAAAAATATAATGATCGCATAAATCAAAATAGTTTCCTATATATATTGACAATTTAATTTAGTGTAGTTTATCATAAATTGATCTTTTTTTTTTAAAGTTAAAATAAAAAATTGAACATTAGTTTATTAAGTAAATTGATTTATAAAATATAAAATTTAATATTAGTTTATAAACAAATTGATTTTTAAAATATAAAAGTTGTTTTTAACAAAAAGAAAGAAACAATTCTTATTACATTTGAAATATATTAAGTTACGCCATAAATAGCTTAAGGATGTAAAAAAAAAACAATTTTTTAAAGTTAAGATAAAATACATGAGTGTCACTGTTTAACATAACAATTTTTTAAAGTTAAGATAAAATACATGAGTGTCACTGTTTAACACATACTTAGATTTTTTAATTATATTTTGTATAATTTTACTTTCAAAAAAAATTAATTATTATTTAAAAGTTTAACGAGGAATAAATGTAGTCCACCAATAAACGCCTCGAATTTTAAAATTTTTTTTAATTCAAAACGCTATAAAGTATATATCACATCCAATTTTAGTACCTAATATTAAATACTATAAATATGAGCAAAAAGATTCATTATCATCTTGCTAATCTTTATAGTATACAAGAGACCATAGGCTGCGGTATATATTTTTAATTTATATCATTCTTCATATATCAAATAGGCGGTTTCTGCAAAGTAAAGCTAGCAACTCATATTTTAACAGGCGAGAAGGTTGCAATTAAAATTATAGACAAAATAGTCCTAAAGGTAGTAATTATTAAAATTAATTTAAATATGTTTGTTTAAAATTCTGCTTTATATAATTTGAATTTTCACAGAATTTATCAATTTGATATAATAAAATTTTGGTTTGTTGTTAAATGATTGTAAACATTTTTTATTTCCTTTATTTTGCCAATTAATAGGAAGTAAAATTTAAAGAAGGTGAGGAATAAATTTGGAAGGGGAGGGGGGTATATTTATTGGCTTAGGAGTTGTAGAAGAAAATGACATGATGTATATTTTTAAAAATTGGAAATTATATTATAAAAATAAAACCTACTTAAATTATGAGTCCAAATATAATTAAGTAATTTAAGGATGCATTTATAATTCTACATTTATTATTAATTTTTTAAATTATTGGTCATTTAGACTATGACAGTTAGGTATTAATAATAATCCTATTGGCAAAATTAAATAACTTCTTAACCGAGGAAGTTGGTAAAATGGTATTCAATTTTAAAATTCTTGTATTTTTATGGTTGTAAAGTCCATCCTAAAGTCAGGCCAAGAAAATTTAAAAAAAAATTTAAACTGGCTCAGAAAATAATATTTTTTGTATTGAGCAGGGCAATTCATGCATAAAAAATTTTAGGGTTGGCCTGGGCAATTTATACATAAAATATCAGACAGGACAATCACCAATTTTTTATAAAATTTTAATAGGCCAGTCAGGCAGGACATTAAAATGCTGATATATTATCATAAATTTCAAGCTAACATTTATTACAATAGGCTTGTTTCTTTGTATTTTAAGAGATAGTTAAAATACTAAATTTATAAATAAGTAAATTAATAAAAAAAAATAATTTATTTATGATATGATCTATAACAAATATAAATAACAGTATCAAATTATTCAACACAATTTATTTAACCATTATTGTAGAAATAACTATTGAAGAGATATACGAGCTCTAATTGTCATTGGAGAAAATTAGATTTAGATATTAAAAATATGATAAAAAATTGGCAAGGGAGGACATTTTGTAAAGCTTTTTGGGCCTGTTGGGCAAACTTTAAAAATATTATAATGGGTTATTTTGGGCCAGGTAAATTTAAAATAAAATTATAATGGTCCAGGCAGGGCAACTTGGGCTAAAACTCTTATGGGCCAAAGAGGTCAGACTTTGCAGTTCTAATCCATATTACACCTGTCACTTTTAAATGATTTAATACTTCTAATTGACTATATGCATTGTTTGATGTTCTTGAGTTATTTAAAACAGATATGCCATCTTGAATATTTAATAGGAGACATTTATATTTATTGTAACTCAGTTTCTAGTAATCATTATAATGTTGTTTAGGTAATATCAAGAGCATAAATATAAATAATGATTTTTTTTATAAAATATTTACTTTTATTTGTTTTAAAAATTTGAAAAAAGAATGATCACATACTTTACACTTATTATATGGGACTTATAAATATATAATGCTATATATGCTTGATTTGCATATAATATTATCTTTCTATAATAACTGATAATTAATGATTCATATCCATAATTTTCATTTAGTAAAGTAAAGTAAAAAAATAATGTAAATTTTGCTATCAAAAACTTTAACTTATTTTATATTTTATTGAATAATATGTTTACTTAAATAATTGTAAACGATTAAATTAACAAATATGATATGTATCTTTTTAAAATTTAAATTGATGAGGATAAAGATATTATTTAAAAATTTGTATTTTCGATTTAAAATACAAGATACTTTTGAAAAAAAAGAAACAAATATCCTCAATACTGCCCAACCCTGCAACTTTATTAGTTGTAGTAAAGTATTGCAGTTCAATTGAGTCATATGTATTTTTAGCATAGCGAATTTCATTAACTATGAAGCACTTTTGCTTTTCAAAAACATTTATTAAAAATAAAAAAAATTTTAATTAGCAAATATTATAATTTATGTTTATAATATTTTATCATTGTTTTACTACAATATAATCTAACAGTACTACAAAAATTTAAACAAAGGTGTAATCTGGGCAAACGCTTTCAAAAGTGCTCCCAAAACCTAATAAAATAAACGAGGAAGCCACCCAAAATGTATTTTACCCATTTTGGTAAATTCTGAGTAACACCTCTACTATTGTTTAGATGGATAATGCTAAAAACATGTGAACCTTTTTCTTTTTTTGAGTTTCTACATATAGTTATGATTAATGATACTTATATATAGTGTTGCTTAATTTGGCTTAACCTAAAAGTCGGCTTAATCTAATTAGTCAAAAATTAAGCATCAAATAAGGAGCTCGGCTCGTCCTTAAGCGTTAAGCAACACTGATCCTAACATAAATTATCATTCATTTATATTCTAATTATTTATAATTTTTTTTATTTATTACATAACGCTTTCGGACGATTAGCTGAACCTCTTAGCCGATGCCTAAGTTTTCACTATCGGCTAACCTTTTGGAGTCGGCTAAAATTAGCCGATTACTTAAAACAAGTTACATATTTTTTTTCTTCTCAGGATGATCTCAAAAGGGCGTACGATGAAATAGAGGCACTTAAAGAACTTCACCACAAGCACATTATTCAATTGTATCAAGTAATTGAAACTGAAAACATCATGTACATGATTATGGAAGTATGTAAAATTTATTTTAAAAATATTGTGATATCGTTCCATGTCAAATAGATCCCGATTCTCTCTGCTCATTTTAATTTTTGTGATTTAGTAACTAAAGTACACGTAACTAATGCATTGTTTAAATTTTAGCATCCTAGTTCTAATATTTTTGGAGATATCAAGGTATAAAAAACGACCTTGTTTAACACTTATCGATTGTCAATTAAAGATATTTACTAAAAACTACGTAATTATAAATAATGATTTTAATATCAAAATATAGTTTACATTCTATTTTTTTATTGTGTGAAAAATAATGAGTTTCTTTGATTTTTTAAAAATATATTAAGCGAATGTCACTAAGACCAATCTTTATCGGTATTAAAAGAAATCGGAATGCCAAGTTTTTTTCTTTTAGAGGGAATATTGATAAAATTAAAAACACCTTCAATAGATAGCATAGTTCTAATATTATTTAAAATGCTATTTTTACAATAATAATAAATTACATCTCATATATTTATGCAAAATTGTAAATTTTCAAAAAAATTATGAAGGATAGGTTGGAAAGTATTTTTGGGAAATAAAGTATATGCATATAATTTAGTGAATTTAATATTTTCTTACCAATAAAAATTACAATATTGCATAAATATTTAATTAAATTCTTTTACTAAGAATAAAAATCAGGGTTGGGTGTTTTGAATGATATAAAATCCATATTTTATGGGTTTATTCTAGAAATAATTTTTCGTTTGCTTTGGTAGAGTTTCCTTTTTTTCATTATTCAATTGAATTTTTATTTTAATTCTCATACGTTATTACTAATTTTCCCGTGGTCAAAGCTTTAAATCGATGTTAGTTCTTTTTATTAACATAACCCAAATTGACTAAAAAAATTTGTTGATTAGAAAGTTTAATTGAAGGGTTATTACATGCAAATGCAAAATATTCTAAGCTTATTGCTCACATCTGATTAATGTTTAATTTATAGATTATACTCCATAAATTTTATTTTTATCAAAGATAATGCTCTTATCATCGATATTACATCTAATAATGGCTATATCATAACCTTAAGAAATCCCCGTTTTTTTATATCACAGTCTAATTCACTAATCGTATCATGTCCCTTGATATTGGAGATATAACATATCTCATTCTAGGGCGAGACAAAAATGATTTGATATATTTATTCACAACAATAGTCTTTTCAAAAACCTAAAGATTTTAACCAAATAATTATTACCTAAGCCTCTAAATTTCGCATATAGATGGCAGAGGCTGGCCAAATATTGATGCCTGGGCAATATATTTTGGCGAAAATCTTGATTTCGCCGTTTTCTACAAATCGAAACTTTCGAGAACTTTATACATAAAAATAATATTTTGGAGTATGTGACCGGCCATATATACCTTCTATCAATTTTGCCATCCCTCATAGATAAAAATTTTTAAGATAATATCAGGGCAATTAATTAAGTAATATGTGTTAAAAATATATTCTTTGCATTTTAATTAGTGTTCTTATCGATTTTTAGCATGGAAGCGATAACTTGACATTTCGATTTTTTTCATATAGATATAGATTGGCCTTAGTGACATAATGCTATATGTTTATAAAAATGGGGGAAACTCATCATTTTTTTATAAGGAATTTAAACTTTAGGGGTTAAATGGCATTTTAAAAAATCTGATAATCGAATGAATACACATTATTTTGATATTTTATAATCATTATTTTTTAAATTGTAGTTATTATAAAATCTTCAATTGAATGGCAATCAATAAGCGTAAAAATAAATCATTTTTCATATTTTGAGCCTTTGATATCTCCAAAAATAAAAGCGATATGGAGAGTTAAAATTTAAACACTTACGTGCACCTTAGTTTGTATTTAAAATATTGCCCAAATCCCAAAAAGTTACTCAAAAATCATGTTATATATAAGCCGCCAAAAATAAAGGGAAAAACGTTTAGTCCATTTTTGAAATATTTATAGGAATATTAGCAACCTGACTTGCCTACCCTCATTATAGGCCTAATTAGGATTACTGTACCTAAATTTATCATATCTTTTATATGAATATACTTCTATAACAACAATACAATGATTTTATTTACATTTATTTTAGTACTGCACTGGTGGGGAACTCTTTGATTACATCATATCCCGGGAAAGGATTCCGGAAGACGAGGCCCGACTCTACTTTCGACAAATCTTGATGGCTTTGGCCTACTTACATAAGAAGGGCTATGCACACAGAGACCTAAAACCGGTTTTATTTATTTTTAAAAAATGATAAGAGATGTACCAGATCCAATTTTATTAGTTGTTCGATACCGGTTCCTAAAAACATTAATTACCCGGTCATGTCCTATATAAAAATATCCGGTTAAGATCCGAGTATTTTAATAGATCTGACCGGATCCCTGAATCAGGTACATCTCTAAAATATATTTTAATATTTTATCTTTCTTATTGTCCTCATTTGGTTTTTTTTTGTATAATATGTAATACTAATTCAGAAAAAATTATTGTTACTTTAGAAAATATATTTTTTTTTTTAAATTAAACCATTTTATTTTGATGGGGGGTAATAATATGTAATTTGTGCAAATGAACTGATAAAAATTTTTATGATAGTTTATTCAAAATATCTTATTCTTTAATGTGTTAACTAGGAAAATTTGCTATTGGACGAAAATAACAACTTAAAACTTATTGATTTTGGTTTGTGTGCCCAATATCAAGTATATTTCAAATTATAATGTATAATTTTAATTCCCTTTAAAGCTCATATTTCAATTATAATCAAACAAACGCTTAATCATTATAGAAATATCGAAATCGCAATTTTTTATTTTTCAAAATCTCATTTTTTCGTTATTCAAATTAATATAATATATAATAATGAAAATAAACATTTTACAAAAAATAACAAAACAACAATTCAATACATATCATTTATCCCCAATCTACTGGGTTCCGTTCGTATTCTTTTGGGATAACGATCTTGACTTGTAGTTTCTTCCTCTCTCTCCTTTAGATTCAATTCATCGTTATTGCTTATTATGTCCTCTTTGTTTACTCTCTCTTCGGTTCTCTCTTCCGTTCGGGTCTCTCTTCTAATTCGTATTCATTAGTTAATATATTTTCGGTTCTTTTCCTTAATTGATCAGTATGACGTATAATCGTTTTACCCTTTATACTTACTTCATATCGTAGTGATCCGAGTATGCTTTTAATAATGGCTTTTTCCCATTTTTTTTCTTTATTATTGTAAATTCGCCACCACACTTTTTCATTTATTTCTAATTTTTGAGTGTAGTATTTTAATCTCCTTTTTGTTCCCCCGTTCGAATATTTGTTCTAACAATCCTCTAAGGTTTTATTTTTAGTAGTATTTCAGCTGGAATTTGTTTAGTTTCTGTCCCTGATGTATTTCTGTGATTGTAGATAAAAATAGGTAGACTGGTTTCTAAATCCCCCTCGTTTCTTTTATTCATGCTCTGTTTAAACGTTCGATCTAATCGTTCTGCTATGCCGTTTGTCTGAGGATGGTAAGGACTCCCGTCGCTAATTGTATTCCGTTTTTTTCGCAGAAATCATGGAATTCTTTACTGCTGAATTGTGGTCCGTTATCAGAAACGATTATCTTAGGAAATCCGAATCTGGCAAAAATATTTCTTAATATTTTCATCGTTCTTTCGGTTGTAGTATTAGTCATGGGAACTATTTCTGGCCAGCTACTGCTAGCATCTATCTTTACCAACTAATAATGATTTTGAAATGGTCCAGCATAATCAATATGTACTCGGTGCCAATCTTTTGGTAGTTTTGGCCAATTTTGAATTGATGTCTTTTGAGGCATATCATGTTGTTCCTGGCATTCTCTACATTTTTCGACCCATCTTTCTATATCTTGGTTTATATTAGGCCACCACGCGTATTGTCTTGCTCTCATCTTCATTTTTACCATTCCAATATGTCCTTGATGTATCATGTCTAACACGTTGTTTCGGTATTGTTGTGGTATTATCATTTTAGTTGTCCACAATAAACTACCTCTCTCTGTTGTAATTTCCTCTCTCCTTTGACTATATTTCTTTGAACATGCATCATAGTTTATTGGCCATCCGTCTATTGTATATCTGTATACTTTAGAAAGTATGTCATCTCGCATTGTTTCTCTTTCAATTTCGCTTGCATTTAAAGGTGTTTCTCCCACCTGTATTTGATTTAGCGTTTCTTCTTTTGATATTGGAGTTCCCTTTATAGGTAATCTATATAGCATGTCAGCATTTGCTATTTGTCTACTACTTTTGACTTCTATTTCATATTGGTAACGTGCTAATAATAAAGTCCATCTTTGTATTCTGGCAGTAGATGTTGTTGGTTTGTCTTTTCTTGGATGAAATAAACTCATTAATGGCTTGTGTCTGTTTGCCATTTCCATATATAAATTCTTTGAATTTTGTAACCCCTAATATGATGGCGAGAGCTTCTCTTCCTATTTGGTTATAATTTTTCTCAGCTGCATTTAGTGTTCTTGAGGCGAATGTAATGATCTCTCCTTACCCCCCCCCTATATGTGATATTACTGCCCCAATTCCTATGGCTGACGCATCTGTTGCTAATATAATGGGTAATCTTGGATCATATTGTTGTAATATTGGAGTACTACTTATTTCTTGCTTTATTTTTTTATACGCGTCTTTGCATTCATTAGTCCATCTCCAAGCAACTGATTTTTCTAATAATTTGTATAATGGTTAGGCTTTGGTTGCAAAATTTGAATTCTGAATAGTATATTGCTGACCCTAGAAATGACTGTAATTGTTTCAAGTTTGTTAGTTCTGGTGCATTTTTTACTGCCTCAGTATTTTTTTCGGTAGTTGTAATCCCGTTTTTTGAAATATTGTGTCCTAAGTACTCGACATTTTGTTTGAAAAATTTATATTTTTCTATTTTTAGCTTGATTCCATTTTCATCTAGACATTTTAGTAACTTTTTTAAATTTGTTTCGTGCTTCTCTCTATTTTTCCCTATTATTATAATATCATCTAAATAACAAGCTACTCCTTCAAAACCTTTTAATAAATTCTCTATTGCTCATTGAAATATAGCTGGAGAAGACGATATACTAAAAGGTAGTCTTGTATATTTAAATAATCCTCTATGCGTATTGATTACAAAATATTTTTGAGACTCTTCCCTCACTTTAATTTGAAAATAGGTATCTGAGAGATCCAATATTGAAAATTCCTCTCCTTTTCCCAAACTGGCTAATAAATCTTGGATTCTTGGTATTAGGTATGAATCAATGTTAATATTTTGATTTATAGTTCTTTTAAAATCCCCGCAAATTCGTAATGTTTTATCTTTCTTTTGAACAATTACTATGGGTGATGCATAAAGTGAATGATTATTTTTTTCTATTACTCCTATTTTTAGCAATCTGTCTAAATCTTCAACTTTATCTTTTAATGTGTATGGTACGGGACGTGATTTACAGAAAATTGTTTTCTCGTTTTTCATATATATTTGTGCCTTAAAATCTTTCAAGCAGCCCAACTCTTTGGTAAATAATTGAGGAAATTCATATTGTATATTAATTTTATTTATTTGTATGGTACTTTCAGATATTTCAGTCATTTTGGGAAATTTAGTTATACAGTTTCTTCCAATGAGATTTTTGGTGTATCCTTTTGTAATTACGAGAGGTAGTTCTAATGTTCGTCCTTTATATTTTACTTTTACTACAGTCTGATCTAATGGTGGTATATTGGTTCCTGTATAGCTTTTAAGTTTTAGCATGCAATTTGTTAATCCAGGACAATTAAGCTCATTTTTCCAATCTATATTGTTAATTAAGCTTATACCCCAGCTCCAGTATCTAATTCCATTCTGATATCGCTGTTGTTTATTTTAACATCCACCAAAAATTATGGATTATATTTGTTTGCTTTATTATTAATAAAATTCACTATTTTTTTTCTACCTAGCAATGTGCCCAATTTTGTTGCATTTATAACAAATGGCATTCTTTAAAAAACAATTTTCCCTTCTAAGGTTTCCGCTGCAGGAGTGGTAGGGATTTGGTTTTTTGTAGCTCGTATTATAATTATTATATGATATGGATTGTTTATCATTATCATTAGTATTATATGATTTTGTTTGTTTATCATTATCATTATTAACTTTTTGAATTTTATTTATATTATCATTATGTTCCTCCTCTAACTAATCGATAGTTTCATCATTTTGTATTTTTTATAGCTGTTTCTACTGAAGTAGCTATTTGAATAGCTTTATTTATGTCTATATCATCTTCAGATAATAATCTTTGTAAAATTTAGGATTTTTATTTCGAATATAAATTTATCAGTATTTAAATATTCTCCAAATTCACAAGTCGTTGCTAATATTCGAAGATTTTGTATATAGTCTATTAATTTTTCCTCATTTTTTTGATTATATTGATAAAAATTATATCTTTCTACAATTATATTAGGAGTAGGATGAAAAAATTTGTAAAATGTTATGTAATTCTAATACCTCTTTATTTCCTGGATTATCTGGTGCGCATAAATTTACCAACATTTTATAAGTATCACATCCTATTGTTGTTAATAACAGGAATTTTTCTTGTGATGATGTTAACCTTTGTTGTGTGTTTTTAAATTCTTTAAGAATCCTTTAAACTCTTTATCGAATGCGCCATTTTTGTAGTGTCTTATTTAGTAATTATAGAAATATCGAAATCGCTATCTTTTATTTTTCAAAATCTCACTTTTTCGTTATTAAAATTCATATCACCATATAAATAATGAAAATAAACATTTTTCAAAAATACAAAAAAATTACAAAATAATAAGTCAATACTTATCAGTAGCGAATTATGTTTAAAATCCATTATATCGTATTAACTAGTTAAGGATTTAAAAAATATATTTATCTCGACCCCTATTTTTTAAGCCGGCGGGGTTTTTAAAATAATATGATTTGGTCAATGTTCTGAATCGAAAATGGCATTTTGGCTTGCATTTTGCCAAATTGTCATGGATGAAGAATTTATATAATAATTATAATATTTTATAATAATCATAACCAAAACAATAAAAAATATCGAATTGGTTTTCAAAATATCGGCTCCGATATTTTTGAAAACGCTAAATACCTGTGCATATCCGATCCGATATTTAATATTGACAGATCCCTACGTATTTTTATCACCCATTAACGCAAGGATTAATTAAATATTTTGAGTGGTAATGGGAACTAGCCCTTTTAAATGTAACCTTTTAATTTTGAATAATCAAAATCAAAATGTTATTTTAAGAAAAAGCACTTATAAATATTTATAAAAAAAATATGAAAAGGATAAAATGGCGTTACGTTTGGACACATGTTGTGGAAGTCCAGCTTATGCCGCTCCCGAATTAATCAAAGGAGATCCTTACATCGGTTCAGAGGTTAACATAAATTTTATTTAAAAAATTACATATTAAAAACAAAAAACAAATATGACCGAATTAATATTTTACTAAATAATTTATATTAAATCTTCTCCCGTTTTTATTTTAAATCAACCAATATTTTTTTATCAGATTAAGCCGGGTTTGCTGGTTATCCCATCATTTCCAAAAAACCCTTTCACTATCTGTCACTTTTCTTTCTGAATATAAGACCTTGTATTTCCATGATCTTTTGTTCCCAACTCCATCATACTCATGTTCATTTCTTCACTTATTTGTTATTTAAGATACCCACAGCCATACCCCTTAAATCTATCTCTCCTTATTACAATAGCTTTCGCCTCTACCCTAATTTTTTTTTCTCAATTCCATCATTGACCTGCCTCTCAGTTAAACGTTACACATCTTACCTGACTATTACTTTGATTTTTAATCAGCCACGTCTTAATCTAACCTCTTATACCATTACAATCCATTGCACAGCTTTCCTAAACTATTACTGAGTATTTATCTAGCCCTTGCCAATTGCCACTACAGCTGGGCCCTACTTCCCTCGTCTCGCTTAGTGAAGGTCAGCGGTTTAGTTTTCTCGGTGTGGGTTGTGGTTTGAACCGAGACCATTTGATCTTTAGAATCGATTCTGCGATTCGGTTCATGTTTTTCAATTAATTTTAGGTTAAGTTTGGATCGGTAGAAAAATATGATCTTTTTATAATTATCAAATAAATATAAAATATATTTTCAAGGCGTCTCAAACTTTATTCATACAATTTTATTTAATTGATTAGCTTCACATATATTACTGAGAAGTAAATTCAGTGATCTGATTTCTAAATATCTAAAAAATTTCGCGGTATCAAATTTTATAAAGTAAGATTTTTTAAATTTACTAATTGAAAATCGACATGATTAGGGAGACGTTTTGTCTTTTATATAAAATGCGAAATTTTATAAATTGGCTATTGAACCTTGAAGATCTCTATTATTTATCAATACTTGAATTTATTATTATAAAATACAATTTTTCGCTTTATCATCCAAAATAAAGGGAAAATGTAGTGCTGTAAACATTTTTAAAAAAATCGAACGCGTTCAACGTTCAAATTGACAAAAATCGAACGCGTTCACGTTCAAATTCAAAAAAGGACACGCGTTCAAAATTTTATGATAAATTTTTTTTTAAATTTAATTTAATATAAATAAATGCCTTATATTTTTCAACACAATATATTAGCCATGATAAAAATAATAGTTTTATTTTGATAATATAATTATAAATACAAATATGAACGATAAAAAAATAAATTTATAAAATTTTCTTAAATACTAATATTAAAATGCCTTATTATAATTAACTATATATATATATATATATTATGTAATTATTTTTACTTAGAACAATTAAAATAAATTATTAACTGGCTATATAGTTATACATATTATATAATATAAAATAATTAATGTTACAATCAGATGTCTTTTTAAATTGGAGCTTGAAGATGTTGACACTGATATAATACTTTTTGGACACATTTTACATTTGGTAACTATTGAATTACCTTTTGATTTTAAAACAGTGAAATATTTTTGATATTTGGGCCATGGTAATTCTAATTCATCTAATATTGAATTTTGATTTTCAGAATCTGATGATGAAATATTTATATCCATGCAAATGCTAATCTATTAAATTAAAATATAAAATATTCAAATTAATAAACTTTAATCTTATCTTCTCTAGCAGTAGCACGTTATGGTACGTTAATTGCAATATGAAAGAGGAAAAAGTAAAAACAGCTGATTAAAAAATATAAGACTTTTTTGTTAAAAAATTGGATTAAATATTAATTTTTCAAATAAATAAAAAAATAAGACTTTTTTGTTAAAAAATGCGGATTAATATTAATTTTTCAAATAAATAAAAATAAAAAGTGTTTTTAAAATTGAACGAACGTAAAATTGAACGCGTTCATCAAAGAAAAGGAACGCGTTCACGTTCAAAGTTCGTCAAAAAAAAAAGAACGCCGTTCATCACCTTTTTTCAAAAAAACGAACTTCGTTCACGAACGCGTTCGTTTACAACACTAGGAAAATGTCGTTCTCGTGTTATTGGTTTAAAGTTAAAACATATTTTTTATTAACTTCCAAAAGAAAGAAGGAAGGTCCTGAAATTTCTTCATTTGAGTACAATTGCTTTATTTTATTTTTTACTAAAACAAACTAGACATGTTTATTGATAATTTATTTACAAAATAAAAAACTAAACAAATACTGTTTAAAAATTATTAATTATTATATAATGTTCAAATTTTTAATGTGGGAATAATTTTAAAATTTATGTGAGATTTTTGCGGAAGAACTTCTCCTTTTTATGGCTATTTCCAGGTTTACCCAGGTAGGCCAGTTTTCCCTTTTCCAATTCTGACGGTCCTGAGTAGTGTTGTTAAACGGCTCGTTTTGAGCCGATTTTTAAAAACGGCTAACTCATTATTCCATCCATAAAAATATTATGCAAACCTGAAGATTTTGCTCATAGAAGCAACAAAGGTCTAGATATATATAAACGAAATCTCGAGGCTTAGGCATAATTTTTCTGGCTAGTATATTGAGTTAGCCGTTTTAAAAAATCGGCTCAAAACGAGCCGTTTAACAACACTAGTCCTGAGCATCAATATTTGTAAGATTCATGCTTCTCATATCCGCCGCTATCACATTTGTCCACGTCATCTTGAGCCTTCCTCTAGGTCTTGATCCTCCTACTTCAAGGTGCATCTCTTTACCCAGTCATCTTTTGTCATACGTTCCACATGCCCAAACCATCTTAGTCTATTTCGTCGCATTACCACTCAAATCATCTATACCCAATCTTGCTCGCAATTTCTTGCTAGTTTTTCTCTCTCTCAGAGATACCCCACACATCCATCTAATCATTCTCATCTCTGTTCTTTCTAATTTGGCTTCGTGAGTCGTTTTCATTGCCCATGTTTCTCCGCCATAAACTAAACAACTCCTCACACAGCTTACGTAAACTTTCCCCTTTAACTTCAGAGAGACTTTTTTATTTGTTAGAATAGACCACATCTCTCTGAACTTCTTCCATGCCCTTGCAACAAGAATCTACACCACCATCACTGTTTAGCATATCACCCAAATAACAAAACTTATCCACCTTTTCTAGGGTTAACCTATTGCCAATATATAAGCCACTATTTTCTACGTTATCATTATTATGTATCCCTTTCATGCACGATCTACGAATAAAAGTCATTCTTGATAATATCAAACTTGCTTTTTTCTCGCTACATCTATTATGTGTCCATTTATGGCATCTGGTGCATTGGATTGAATTTCTAGCAACTCCTTTCCCAAATACACCACAAGGCCACTTACCGGATTCCTCCATCTTTAGATTTTCCCCACCAACACCTTTGTTTTTGCTATATTTATTTTCAGGCTCTTTGCTTCTGTAGCCATCCTCCATTTACTAATTTTATCTTTCAATTCCCTCACTGTTTTGCCATTAATACAAGGTCATCTGCATATAATAGCTCCCAGGGAAGTCCTTCACGTATTTCTCTAGCCACCACATCCAGTACTAAGATAAATAATAATGGACTCAGCACGGATCTCCTTGATGAAGTCCTACCTTCACTTCAAAGCTTTCACTATCACCATAATCCATCCGTACTGCTGTTTGTCTAACCTCACGCGGCACCCTGTCAAATGCTTTCTCCAAGTCAACAAACGCATAATACAATTTCTTTTTCTTCGCAAGATACTTCTCCTGTATTTGTCTCACCACAAAAATAGCATCTGTTGTGCCTTTCCCCGAAAACCAAACTGCATTTTATCAATTTTAGTTTGTTCCAATATCGCTTCTCTAACGCCCTATCAAATACCTTCATTGAATGTTCCAAGAGTTTAATAGTTCTGCAAGACCCACAATCTAAAGGATCACCTATTCCCTTGTATACTGGGATAATTATACTTCTTCGCCAGACCTCGGGAATAGTTCCTTCTATGACAATTTGATTTGCCAAATTTATTAACCATTCAATCCTTAAGTTATCAGAACCTTTAAACATCTCTGATACCACCATCGTTAAACCCTATGCCTTCCCTTTTTTCATCTTTTTCACTGCTCTCTTTATTTCATCCTTGCCAAATTTACACCCTGGACCTTCTACCTTTGCACAACTAACATTATTATCCAATTCATTATCTTTGTTCAAAAGCCCTTCCATGTAGATCTTTCAGGTGTTCTTAATACCATTACTATCAATCACCATTTTTTCTTGCATATTTTTCTAACATTTAACACCTACCACATCTTGCCTCTTTTTTGCCATCTGCTTTGCCATTCGAACCACATTTCCCATTCCTTTAGCGCATTCAATTTCTTTAGCAAACTCCTGCCCTTTTTCTTCTTGCGCTTTCGCTATTAATTTCTTAGCATTTCTTTTCGCCATCTTGTAAATATTGTTATCACTTTTATCTACACTATTATACCATTCTTTGAAGCCCCTGCGTTTCTCATCCACAGCTTTCACTACCTCCGGGTTCCACCACCAAGTCTCCTTATATCTAGGCGGCCCTTATGTCGATCCACATACCTCCTCAGTTGTCATCACCCTTGTTTTCTTCATGGCTCCCCCCATTTGTCATTTACCCCAGATGCTCGTGTCACCTTCGTCTCCTTTATCGCCAATGTCATATTGAATTGTCGTCTTGCACTCTCCTCTTTCAATTTCCATACCTTCATTCTTGGCACAAACTTTCTTTTAGTGATTCTGGCGCCTTTAAAAGTAAGATTTCCTGTAACTAGTCGATGCTGATTAATACATTCCTCTCCCTGTATCACTTATTTTTTACTATACATCCATCACATCTCCTTAATAACAAATAATCCACCGCACTTTTGGTACTACCTGACTTATAAGTCACAATCTTCTCTGATTCTTTCTATTAAAGACAATCATATCCATAGCATCACTAAAATATAAAATCATCTCCCCTTCCAGATTCCTCATGCCGTAACTGTACCCTCGTACTCCTTCATAACCCTCACAACTCGCTCCTACATGTCCATTCGGATCTCCACTGGATAATCCCCTCTTCATTTGGTCTCGATGTCACCCCCAATAGACTTTCTTAAAATATATCTTTCTCTTCTTAACTTCCAAACTGACGTGCATATACCGAGATAACATTATATAGCATTCTACTAAAAATTATCTTGATAACCATTATCTGGTTATCTAGCCTTCTTTTCTCTGCAATCAATATCCCAACTCCAGCCTTATCACATTACTTCCTTGCCAAAAGTATTTATACTTTTCACTAGTCTTGCCAATCATTCTTGCGCCATTTCCTTTCATCTGGTCTCTTGTATGCAGCACACAACTATATGCCTTCTAAGCAATACTTCACCACTACTCACGCTCTTCCCGTCATACTCCCAACATTCCATGTCCGACCCTTACTCCATCCCCCTTAAACAGGTTTCTCCACCTATTATCATATCGTCTATCCGTCATAAGTTTCATTTTCATCAATCGTGGTTCCACCAGGTTTCCCATCCTTCTTTGTTGTAACCATAGGGAAATTTTGTAGCAAGATTTTCCTGACATCAACCCTATAAGTGGTTTTTACACCCCGTAGAGGAGACGGTCATCCCATTCTAGACCCTAATCATTGGGAACCTTTTAGACCTCCATTATCTGCCAAAAGACGTTGCCACTCCCCTGCCACGATGAGACTGTAGGAAGTATTTTGGGAGAGATATGGAGTAGAACGTGTTGAGGAAAAAATTGCGTGGGTTTCCCGCTAACGTGGAGAGACCTGGCAACCTAACCATAGTTCGGTGCATAATCTTTCAACATTCCTTTAAGTTGCGTCGTTTCGGGGGCGCAAAATTTTGGACATTGGTAAATGACGATTTACTTTTACTTGTTGCTAATTTTAGATGGAATTTTTTTAATACTAATTTTGAGGATTAAGAAAATTGAGTCCAGTAAGTTGGAAGAGCTAGTGACACCACAGATTTTCTGTTTATTCGCCCTCAATCATCTCTTTGATTTTTTCCAGCATTTGTCCTCAAATGATTCTCTCTGCTTGCTCCTTTTTTTCTCATAAAATATCTTATCCTCTAATTCCGTTTTATTTTTCGGCATCGGCACTAATTATTTGGTTAGAAATCCATGATAATCCTTCGCCCACATAAACCACCTTTATTAGTCCTATTATAACACCTAAAATTCAATTGAAAAGGTTAATTTTTATAAATTGAAACCTATTTTTATTTTTAATTAGGTGGATGTATGGAGTTTGGGTGTTCTCCTTTACGCTTTATTGTGTGGATTTTTACCATTCGACGACGAGAATCTATCAAACTTGTATCGAAAAATCATGGTAAATTATTATAATAAAATGTCATATATAAATTCTTTCATTCATTCTAATTATGGGCCTTGTGTTAAAATTATGATTTTAAATCAGTGTTGTATAATGTAAACGCCACTTTAAATGTAACGTTATTTTTCATTTTGAATGAAAAAGAAACGTCATTAACATTACTCGTTACTTTCCAAAAGAAGAAACACAAATAAGTAAAGTCATTAATAACTTTCAAAATAAAATACTATAGTCGATATTAGTGATCTGCATCGGGCCTAATTTTTCAAGCCTGGCCCGGTGCGAAATTTTTTTTAAAAAAGATTTGCTGGCCCGGCCCGAACCCGAAATTTTTTTTAAAAAATTTACCAACCCGGCCCGAATTTATTTAAATATAGAAATTAATTTTTATAATTACTCAAAAAGACATATGTTATATGTGTATTAGTTTCAATAAATAAAATCAAATATATATTTTACATAAAAAATTCAATATAAAATTAATAAATTTAGATATATTTTAAAAAATTTCCAAAGTCCCACCAACCCAGCCCGATTTTATTAAAAAATATTAGGCCCGGTCCGGACAGAACCCGATTATAAATAGAATGGGCCTAACTTTGCAGATCACTAGTAGATATTACTATTAAATTTTTCCAGATATTATGTTTATGTATAAAAGGCTATAAAAATACAATATTATAATTAAAAATATATAGTTATCAGTAAAATTTATAACCATTTTTTGTTCATTTTTAACAATTATTTTTCATAATTCTGATTAGACAAAGAGAATGTTCGGCACTCTTCAAATGACGCCGTTGATATTTTTTTAATTAAATAAAATTATAATATTTTGATTGATTATATTATATTATGAATAAAAATAAAATTTTAATTAATTTATAAGATATATTATAATCTTTAAATATTAATAAAATAATGCAGAATTTATTTCTGGATAATAGATCAACTTAGTTTTCAATAAAATATAATTATTTATATTGATAACCTGTAACATCTGATATGTCATGTCATTAAAAGTCTAGTGCTGTAAACGTTATTTAAAAAACGCTTTAATCGTTGGTCGTTACTTTTGATAAAGGAACGCATTACTGTTACTCGTTACCTTGTGAAAAAAATAGAATGCGTTACTCACTATTCAAAAAAGTAACTCGTTATTCGCCCCCCATCTTTATGGATAATAAAAATAAAATGACTATATGATAAGTTTGTAATAAATTTTCCTTTATTTTTAACAAGAGCTCTTAGGACAAATGATGTGAGGGTTGGATTTTATTTAATAAATAAAATTTTTAAGGGAATTTATTAAAAATATTCAATGATCAAAAAACTTAATAGATTCTTTACAAATCTTCATTCAGATCTTCTGCAATCTTTTTTTATCTTCATCAGAATTTTATCTGAATTGATATTTTTTACCTTCATATGTTTTTGATTTAAGCTGCTGGACAATAGGTTAAAATATTTGAATTAGATCACAATCTACACTTACAAAGTGTCGACTTAATGCCCTTAGTTTTCTTTATTAGTATAAAAAATGTTTCATACTCGAGCCAGGGCAGAGAATCATCTTCATCTGTAGAAGCACTATTAACTTATTCTTATAAAATAAATTATAATATACGAGATTATAAAATAACGCGCCTTGATTGATTCAATATTAAAAGATTAACAATCTTAACTGAAAATTCAGAAAATGTAATAAATAAAATTAAAATGAATAACTTTGGTTTGATCAGAATTAAAAACTCGGCTAAATTTTTTAAATAATATATAATATATTCTTTAAGAAAAAAATAAAAGTAACGTTTTGCGTTATCATTACTCCAAGAACGCTTTACTTATTACTCATTAATTTTTGAAAATCCTTTAACGACGTTATTTTACAGCGCTAATAAAGACTAAGAGAAATTCGAATAAATCAGCCCTGTTAGCGGCAATTTCCTTCAGTTAATTATATTATATTATAATTTTTCACGTATATCTTCTATCTTTTAAAAAATAACGAGTAACCTAATTTCAAGTTAGCTCATTGTTTGATAATGATTCAAGGTCAGTTAATTTCTTCCAATTCCATTTATAACTATTTATTTTATTATAGTTCCCTTATAGTTTAAAATTATTAACTTCATTTTTAAAATTTTTCTAAACATTTAAAAAAACACAATACATATTTTATCTTATATATTTTATGAACCAAAAGTCAGGTCAATTCGTTAAACCTGACTGTTTATCGCATTCCAGTGTTTCTCTTTTGAATAAAATGCTAGAAACTAATCCAGCCCGAAGGATAAACACAAAACAATTGTTGACTCATCCATGGGTCCTCAAAAATTCTGACTTTGCTAATCCCTTATCGGCAAAAAATGATCAAAATTCTAGCCAACATTCAAATCATGTACAAACAATATTATATCATTTTATTTGTTGTAACCAGGGACATGGAACAGAATGTTCCGGAAACGGAACTTGGAAATTATAGAACGGGAAAGGTTATCTCGGTCTTTTCCGGAACAGTTCTGTCCTAATATAATATTTATTATTTAATTTTTTATATAATTATATATAAAGGATCATTCACAAATACTCGTTTATTATTTTCTTAATTCCAGTTTGCTTCACATGACAATATTTAGCCCATTGTCATATTTGAAATATTTTTAACTGTTTTATTCATAGAAATATTGTATCATAAAATTTTAAATTTTAATTGATAATACTATTGCCAAATTTGTTTTGAGAGGTATTTTTTGACCTCTATGGCACCACCGCACAAAAATATATGTTTAGATTTAATACTCCATAGTGTTAAAATTGGTATAATATAATAAATTAAAAATAAAAAATTTTTTATGGAACGCGTTCCATTACATGGAGCGGAACTTATATTTACTTAATTAAATTCAATACTAGTAGGATGCTTCTCTTGATATTGGGGACCCAATAAATATATATATCGTTTTTTCATTTTTCAAACATATTTTAAATTTTTTTTTCCAGATTTTCAAAAATATTTGACCAAATTAAATACTTCTATCAATTTACTAAATTTGACCGGTCAATTGACCGACTTGCCAACCTTGTTTAATTAGATTATTATTATCACCCACTTGACATTTTTAGAGTAAATGTGATCATTTTTAGGAAATCTACAAAATCCTATTTAAATAAAAAAAATCAATACCCATAAAACATATACACCACCTAAAATATATCCTGACATGCAATAGTAAAAGATTATAAGATTGATGAATCGCGAACTTATTCGCCAAAATACATCTGAATAATAATTCTCACTTCACTTATTAAGGACAAATTATATTGGTATCAGTTAAATTTTTAAAAAAAATTGGCAATATTAACTATAAAATTTAGTTTTATCGAAAAAAAAAATTAATATTTGGATTATAATTTTATTTTATTCTAAAGTTGCGTGATATAGATGAAGATATTATCGAAGAAATATCTACTTATTTCGATAAATCACCACAAGATTTGACCATAGAAATCAAGCAGGTTTGTCAATATAATATTTTTCTCCCTTAAATTCTACATAAATCAAATATTTAGGAAATTATTTTTCTAAAAAAATAAATATATTTTAATATAAACTCATGATTTATTGCGTAAAAGAATAAATACGTGTCCAATCAGAAATTTCGCGAATAATTTTTTTAACAAATCAATCAAATAAGCTTAATTCATTTTAGCCAATAATTAAATATTAATAAAAAATGTGCTATTTTCTGGATTAACAATTTTTCCGGATTTGGAATCTCTTAATTTTAGATCATACGGGAACGATTTTTAAATTTGAAAAGATCTTATATTTATCGGAAATGTATTTCAGCATATGTAGAGTATTTTAAGCTATGAAGACAAATTCCCTATGATAATTTTTTATAAAAAATTTATATATATAAATGAAAATTATAAATTAAGAGTAATTTAAAAGTTATACCTCTGAAATTCATGGAGTAGGTACTTCTACGCTTGCTGGAATATATTTCTGGTAAAATAGAATTTTTAATTTAGAATATCGATAGATACCTGAAGATTTAAGTCGGCATTCCAGAAAAACATGAGATATATCGTCGGCTAATTCCAAAAATATATTTTAGATAGGAGATCATATTATAATAAAGCAAATAAAGGATTATATTTTAATATTTTTAATGGTGATATGGGAGAATACCACTAAAGAATTGATTTATCGAGAAAAAAAATGCATTTTGCAAAATAAGTGGACATTGAACACTATAATACTTAGACGTCTAAAAATGTTTGGATAACTCAAAATGAGGATTCTTATTCTTATATTTATTTTAATTATTTTTTAATATATTCTTTTTAAAATTTTACAATTATATTATACATATGAATAGACAAAATACGATTACCAAACGGCCACGTATTTGTTACTCCTGAAACGGAAAAGGGAAGGTAAAAGTTATCATTTGCTCAGCAAGAATAGACATAATTTCGACAAAATTCCTAATTATCCTTTTCTTACTAAACGGGCAAGAGTTTTGAATAGAATAGATAATATAGGCGATTTCAATTCGAATAAAGTGAGTTATATATTTTTTTAAAACTATATTACTTGATCTATTTGATTCCAGGCCCATCTGCCATTGAAGGGGAAGAAGACGCTAATTAGAATAAAAGGGGAGGAAAGTAAATGTATATAAAGGGGGCAGAGAAGTACGCTAATTTTGATTTGGATTCACTTTTTTGTAAATTTGTAAGGGTGTTGAAATTTTTAATATTCAATCATCATACTAGTTTTTTTAAATTTAATATGAGCAATATAGGAAGATACTATAGTAATATTTACAGTGATATTAATCTTTATAGTATAAAAATAACTAATAAGGTCTTCAACACGACATAAGCAAGTTATTTAATTTCATGAGCAAACCTTAACCACAACACCATTTATATTTTATATTAATTATTTGATCAAGAATAATAAATCCCTTAATGCACATCATAACAAAGTATATGACGCGTCCTTTCTCGAGGAAAACCTGAATAATGATTTCACTAAATATATCAACAGAAATGTAGATTATCTCAACAGTGATAACGCTTCTAAAAAATCTATCGAATCTGGATTTGGTTCCTACTCCAATAATAATGGTAAATGATATTATGTGATAATTTAATTTATTAATCAGAGTGCACCAGAAATTGACCTAGTACATTAAGCCGTTCACTTATTTAAATAAACCTTATTTACAATAATTTGTTAAATTTGGAAAAGCAAAGCAGGAATCCTTAAAATTTCAAATCATTGCTAAAATTTCTATCAAATAATAACAAGAGTAAGAAACTGATTAATATGATAGTAAATAATTTTTAATACAAATCAGTTGAAATGATAAAAGGAAAATATTAATATATTCACAAATATTTTTGAAATTTAAATTTTTTTAAAACAAGGTTTAACAAAAATATTTAAATGAGCATTTTAAGTTTTTTTTGCCCAAAGAATTTGAGCAAAATCTTTGAAGATCAGCAATTTGATTTCATCGTGAAATATATATATATAAATCCAAAAAGATTTGCTTAATAAAAAATACAACTTTGAGCAAAATTTGATCTAAAATACTGTTTATTTAATATTTTAGTTTTGAGCAGATTGCGTAACTATTTAAAAATAATATATAACTAAAATGTGTTACAGATACAGAGGATGAGGTGAAACGAAAAAATAGTGATAAAAATAAAGGTTTATCTTCTGGCGTCTTATCTCCTTCACGTTCTTACGATAGTAGCTTAAATGTACAAGGATTGGAACAAGAATCTCCACATATCATGTATCTTAGGTTTTTCATTAATTTTTTTTTATATTAATTTAGAAAAATTTGATTACACATTTATAAACAAGCTATAATTGCTTAGCATCACTAAAATATAAAGATATTTTATTTGTAATTAGAGGTCCCATCCTAGTCTAAATTATATTGATAAACTTAAAAAAAAAATATCTTTTTAAATAATGAAGCCTTATTTTTAAACAATTATAATCAGAACTAAGTCTTTAGAAGACCAATTGAACACCACGGGGCAAGAACAAACATTAACTCCTGAAGTTACTAACAAAAAATCTAACCACAATGATAATGATATTTTGCCTGGAGGTAAAAATGGTGAAATATTGGTTGATACTTTATTAAAAACACCACAACAGCAATTCAAGAAAAAGTTATCTCATGAAAGTAACGTATCTCCCTTTTTAAATTTTTTAATAAAATTATTAAAGTTTGACAAAAAATTATAATTTTAGCATTCGATATCTTTAAAAAGGACGAATATGAATATTAAAATTTTCTATCGATTATTATTAAGAGCTTCTTTTTTTTCAAACAATAATTGGACCCCTTGGATAGGTTCTTCCTCTCACAGCAACACTTACAACAAAAATTTGTTGGGGAGCATAGAAAAGGGGATAGACAAAATAAGGAATATCCTCTTTAGCCCAGCTGTGTCTCATAAAAATTCTTCATCTATCATTAAACGCAGTGGTAATAATAATAATAACGATAATATTAGCACCGGTACACCCATTCAGATTGGTAACGATACCACTATTGGTTACAATCCTAGGAGTGTTATAGTATAAATTTTTTTTATTTGTTCTGATAAATTTTTCATCCTTTTCAGTTGTTTTTTTGCTAAAAGATTAATCTGCCATTTATTGGGTGACTCCATAGTTATAAATTTAGTTTTAGTAAGTTAGACTCGAGTGAATTTAAACAAAATATATAATTTATCAAAATTTAATAAACGCGAATTAATAGGTCCTGAATAACGTATCAACCAGTGGTTTGACAAATTTTACTCATATATCAACTTTATTGAAGGAAGCCCTCGTTAAAAAGGGTATCATTGTTAAACAAAAGGGGTTTGCAAAATTATCTGCATAAGCATTCTAAATCATTTAATAAAATATAATGTACTCGATTTAACGTTTAGTAAAATGATTTAAATATTAATATTTTGATTTATCGATTTTTACTTAAGATTTTTTTATACATTAATCATATAATTAGTACAAGTCGGACATATGTTTTTGACGATGAGATTAAAGTTGATTTTAGAAAAATAATTTACAATATTTTTTAAAAAAAACAAAACGTACGCATGTTATTTTTTAGATAACTTTTGAAATTTCAAAAGATAAGAAGTCTTATACAAAATAACTAATTTTTAGATTAAAATTGCAAGGCCGTGTGTTAGACGAAAGCGGTAAAACTTGCCTAACCTTTGAGCTGGAAATCGTTTATATTCCTAAATACAAAATGTACGGAATCAGGAGGAAAAGATTGAGAGGTGATTCTTGGCATTACAAGAAAATATGTGAGGAAGTGCTGGCTTTAACATCCGAAGATAATAGTTAACACCCAATCAGTATTCCTACTAATAAATTATCAATTCTATTTTAACAGGGTGAATAAATACTGTAATTTTTTTATATGCACTTATAACATGCTTGTTATAATACTTATTTAACTTGTATAAAGATTTTTTTAAAATTGATTAATTATATTAACCACGTAATTAATTTATTTATGAAACAATATAATTTTAAAATATAGATTATATTATTAGTTTAATTTATAATAAAGAATATTATTATATAAAATGTATCTAACATCTAAGGCCATTTCCGGCTAAGACATCATTTCAAAAGCTATTCAGAATTAAAAAATTACGACGGGCTAGGACGCTTTTTTAAAAATACTTCTTTTCTGAAAGTCGTCTAAGGCTATATCATAAGCCTCTTTTATAGGCAACGATATAGCTGACACAATGCGTAATTCAATGCTAAACATTAGCATAGTTGTATAATTTATCATTGTAATTTACGCATTGATTGAGCGATTACTATCAATGATTCCTTATACTTAATCGTCCCAATTAGACTCAGAGTTTTAAAAAAAATTAATATTTTTAAATGATCAATTCTAATTATAAAAATTTTTCAGTCACTTATGAAACTTAAAATCTATTTTGCATGTATATTCTTCCGTAAAAAAATTGGTTAATATGATAAATAAATTTTACTTTTCACGGAGTGAACTTCTTAGAGGGGTGGGGGCTTTTCTTATTACCGATATAGTTTTTTAGAGGTCAATCCAATTTAGCTGATATTGGCCAATTATATATGCTGATATAATTTTTAATAATAACAAAACTTGTTAACGATACTATTAAAAGGTATGAAAACTAATACCCAATTTCTTCTATATAAATACATAAAATTCAATTTGATAGGGGAAGCTGAGCCCCTCCCTAATCACAACCTCCGCTCTTAGCAGTCAAACAAGAGTTAATAATTTATTAGGGTCTAAAAGCATCTAGCATACTAAACATTCTCGAATAGGCCAATTAATCATTAGATGACAATCTGCTACCCTTCAGAAGTTAGGCAAATTCCTTTTTGCTACTTCACTTGTGTCTAATAATTCCCATCAGATAAAAATAGGGATGCTAAAGAAATATAATAAACTACATAATTATATCTTCACCCCAATTAATCTGTCTACTAGTGTTGTTAAAAAACCCGATTCGGTTCTATTTAAAAAAACGGCCAGATTAAGATTATAACCAAAATAACATTGCAAGCCAAAAAAATTTGCTCATTGCTGGCAGAAATTTTTGGACAATTATTTGTCAAATCTCGATGCTTACATATTATTATTTTAGCTAACATCTTAATCCGGCCGTTTTGAAAAATCGACCCTAATCTAGCGTTTTAATAATACTACTGTCTACCATTGGACATTTTTCACCTTGAAAATTATTAAGTTAATCAAAGCTCATTTCAATTATGGTTGTTTCTTGAAACCCCAGTTAAAAATAGTTGAACCTTATTTTATTTATTTTTAAATATAATTTTTATCAACATAGTCTTATAAAAATAAATAAAAGGTTTAAATTTTTTTATGACTACCAAGCCCTTAATTTCTTAAATGAAAATCTGTATCGTCTTAAAACATAGGATAATATCCAAAATATTTAATTTTACATCAAAAGTTAACCCAATATTTAAGAGAATACAACAATTATGGAATATAATTATAATTTTGACGAAGCATTTAATTTTCTTGTTTTTTTTATTCTGCTATATATAATTTTATTTTATGTTTTTCTTGAAATAAATTAAATGTATAATAATCATAATTTATATGTAAATTACTGTAAAATTTTCTGTACAAATAGATATTATTGCATTATAAATATTTATAATCTGATTTTATATAATTACTCTTGATTTTATAATAAGAAACTATATTTTAAATGTGAATCGAAGCAAATTTCATTTTATAATAATACAGTTTTTTATTTTTTCAACGGAAGGGTAAAAAGTATCCATATCTTGTTTTATCCTTTTTGGTACGCTTTATTATTGCTAGACATAAGGTAAATTTAAAAATAAATATTTATATTGATAAGATAAATTTAGAAATAAATATTTATATTGATAAGATAAATTTAGAAATAAATATTTATATTGATACTACTTATTATTTAATTAAAATGATTAAAGGTCATATATTCTTTATCATAATATATATATAACATTTTACCTAGTGTTAAAGTCGGGTCGTTCCACCATATTTGAGGATTTAGTTGTAAAAATCCAACCAGATTTGACCCAAATAATGAATCTTTTATTCAAATAATGTCAATTCAAGATAGATTTTTACGATTAACTCTTTAGGCACGACTCGGCTTTTTAACCACTATTTTTACCAAAAAGATAAAGTATCATACCTCAGAATTTTAACCGATACAGTATATTTATTTAAACTTTGAGAATTAAAATTTTATATCCTAGTTCAATTTATTAATTTACGTTTTGCATTTAGGAATACCCTCTCCCTGTCTATGAATTCGCGCTAATCCGTTGGTATGATTTCGCGCATTATTAATAATACATTCGTTAGTACCCTGTATATTTTGCGAATTTTTATTATGACACCAATCGTGATTTTGACTTTGATAACACGATATAAATCCGTTAGCGCATCCGTTGTCTCTGTTGGAGGTCGCCGATGTTGAATGATTATTCGTGCAGTTGGGGGAATCGGCGTTACGAAAATATGTGGTACTTGAATTTATTTTTCCTTTTTTATAACATGCGCAATGCTGGTAATTTTGATTATCCACGCGAACGCGTTTCTTAAAATTAGGTTTTTGATCGTTCGGTGGAGAAATTTGAGTAATTCTGCGCGAACGATCCGAGAAATGATTACGGAATGACGATCGATCTTCTGAAGGTGCCTGATTGTATGGGTCCTTAGATCTTGACGGGGGCAGGCCTATTTTAATATTGTGACATTTATGGTCGTGCCTTGGACTAGAAACATTCAATTTTGGAGCGTGGAATTTATTATACGCGCAATTTTTATGTACCCTGTTATTGTTAATAGGAGATGATTGGTTAGTATAAATGAGCTTTTTATTAGTAGGGGAAGAATAGCGAGAAGCGAGCTTACGATCTATTTTGGTATGATTGCTCGAGCTATTGTTTGAACTATTTGAATGCGTTTTGTGAGTATTATACCCCTCCATATAATTGATGTTGAGTAAATCGTCGTTTCCCACATGAAACCATTTGTAATAAGCTAGCAAAAATAGTATTCCCACAAAAAAGGCGGAATAAGAGGTCAATAAGGCTAAAAGTCTGAGTTTTATGGAGCCCATCTGCGCTCGGTGCAGCCAAACCGTCACCATTAAAGTATTTTCTACGAAAATTACTACGTAATAAGTTGTCAATCGGAATTTGCTATTGCCAGTTTGTAGGTCGATGAAACAAAACACGTATACCGCGGCAATGGCCACCGACCACCCTAATTTTTTAAAAAAACAGGCCATGCGAGTTTTACTCCCTGGCGTGGAAATACCTCCAGTTCTAACTGTGTTTATTTTATTTGAAATGGAAATTTCTTTATCTAAAACATTTGGTCCCGTATGAGGAGCGAGCAAAGAATGTGTGCAACATTCGTCGATATAGGCTAATTTGCCTTTTTCTTCTCTACTAACCGCGACATTTATAATAGAGTGTGGGGGTGGTATTACTGCGCTCTTATCAAAAATAAGTCTTTCCCGTTGCAACCAAACCGCGGTGAAGGCCCAATGAAAACCTACCAACAGTATCGTCCAGCGAACGCAAGAAAGGGCGAAAAGCAGCAAGACTAAACAGCGCGACGCGAATAAAGAAGCGTTGGCCAATAGCTTGAAGATGATGCCGGTCCAAGTAAAACTTATAACGGTAGAAGAACGATTATAGGACATGGAAGGATAGGAAAATGACAGGAGAACTTTCTTATCGAATGAGGCCAAGGACCAAGTTACGCAAAAGAGGGATATAAGAGCCGAGATAACAAAAAGGAACGGTTCTTCGAGCTCGATTTTAATACGTTCAGGTTGTAACAATTTAGGATTTACATTTAAACCAACGTTAATATGTGAGGCATCCTGAAAAAAATTTTCGGTCCAAAACCCGGGTTTCCCATAGTCATATAAATTATTTCCGTGTTCTAAGTTGATATTACTAAAATGGTTTACTAGTAGGTAACATTTGATTAAAAACAAGGGAATACCCTGTATCATGCCTTGGTAAAGTCTTAGCACGGAGAGCCTACAAAATTCGGTCTCTTGCTTTTTGGGGTCACCGGGCAAAAATATTTTGCAATGCCTCCACACTACGTGGAGTTGCAGAAGATGAACAACGAGTAAAGGAGCGAATTCCTTGAGCAAATCAAACACGTAAAACCGGGAGGATAAATAATTTTTAACTAAACTCTGGTCGTCTACGGGCATTATTTGTTCTGTGTGAGGAGTTAAGGATTTTACATGGTTTAATCGGCCCAAAATATGGGTTCTTTTAGCCCGAGTCAAGAAGCCCCTCCTAAATTCCTCATTATACCAACTTAGAGATACTATTTGAGATGATAGGAAATAAACGAACATAAAAAAAGAAGTCAACCAAAACCAAGGTTCTATATGGGACCCTCTTCGTTTCGCTTGATCGGGTTCCTTCCTCTGGTCACTTTTAAGAGCAAATAGAGTTTGTAAAATAACCAAATCGAAAACTATTATGCACAAATAAGTCGATAAAGAAATCACGGTGAATAGAATGTCACAAAACGAGAGCACCTTTTTGCGTTTATGGTGGATGTCTGGAATTCCATTTGTGATTGTATTAGACATTACTAATTCAAGCTTTCGAGAATCTCCAAACCTTTTTGGAGAGATCCTATCTTGACATTTCACCCCCAAATTTATTTTCCTATTATTTTATTTTTAATTTAACATTTTTTTGAGTTAACACGATTAATGAAGCATGATATGTTTCCGGAATGATAATTTCTTAAAAATTGTATATTTTGATTTTTTTTTTTAAATGTGTAGATATCAAAATTTATTTTATAGTATATTATCGCACAAGTAAAATAGAAATCTTATTATCAAGAAAAATTCACATTTTTTATTTTTATCTTAAAATCTAACAGATACTAAAATTTCCTTTTTTTATGTTACAAGAAAATGAAGGGATATTTTTTTAAACCTTATTTTATAACAATAATTTATATATTTTAAAAAAATATATCATTTTTATAATTGATCCACCACAAATCAAATATAGTAAAAGCTAGGGTTGGCACGATTATATCATTGATTTATATCTCGATTAAAATCAATCAGCTTTTTTGAAAAAAGTTATGATTTAGATTAATTTTTTTTAAATAAAAACTTACTATATTTTGCAAATAAGTTCTAATTAATTGTTAAATTTAATTTTTAATAATTATACATAGAGTTAATTGAAATTATTTTTTTGATATAATGTAATCCTATAAAAATATATTTATCTAATATTGTTTAAATTTAAGGAGATGAGAGAAATCTCTATAATTATTTCAATTGGTTTTTATTTAAATAAATAAAATCTTGATACTGATACTGAGAAGCTTAATTCATGAAGTTTGTATAAAATTTTAATTCTAGCTTATATTAAAATAATTAATATTTAAAATAATTATACATTGCTTATATTAAAAAAATTTTTTTTATTATTATTAATTATAATATTAAACATTTAGCCGACTTTTAAAAGCGGCTAAATTAATATTTTGCCAAAATTATATTAATTAATATTTAAAATAATTATACATTGCTTATATTAAAAAAATTTTTTTTATTATTATTAATTATAATATTAAACATTTAGCCGACTTTTAAAAGCGGCTAAATTAATATTTTAGCCAAAATTATATTAATGAGGCCACGAAATTGCCAATAGAGGTCTAATTTTTTATCAATAAAATCTCCCAGGTTGGAGAATTTTTTTTGGTTAAAATTTTGAATTAACCGTTTTTAAAAATAGGTGGAATCGAGCCGGCAACACTAATAAATTATATAAAAGTATTAAAATTTATATGAATAGACAAGTAAATATTAAACATTGATAATTATTTATGATAAAATACATTTTAGTCAAATCAATATTGTTTAACAATAATTAATGTGTGTTTAATTAGTAACTTTTTATATGGAATTATTCCTCCAGGGCATATATTTTGAAATTATTTCTCTTTTATCAGAAAATTAGATTTAAATCAAAAAAATCATCATATCTGCCATTATTAAAAATATCCGCAATTTTTTTAAAAAATCAGAGATGTGTAATGAGACTTTGTATCAAATCGATAATCACGTTGCAATATCGCTAATTCATTATCGTGAATATATTATAGCGAATGCATTATCACGTATGCAATAGTGTATATTTGACAAATAGTTGATATAATTTATAGAAGTATTAAAATTCTTTGCTTTTTATCCACTTTCTAATAAATAGTTCATCATTAATGTTTTTATTTTTTTATATCGGACATAAATTTATTACCTTTTGAAAGTTCCTGGCCGATAATATTTTTCCACCGGATTTCTTTTTCTTAAAGGAAATTCTTTAGACTCTTTAATTATATTATAACTAGTGTTGTTAAACGGCTCATTTTGAGCCGATTTTTAAAAACGGCTAACTCAATATTGTAGCCTGAAAAATATAGCCTAAGCCTTGAGATTTCGCTAATAGATGTCCAAACCTTTGTTCCTTCTACAAACAAAATCTTCAGGCTTGAGTTAAATTATTCTGGATGAAATAGTGAGTTAGCCGTTTTTAAAAATCGGCTCAAAACGAGCCGTTTAACAACACTAATTATAACCCATTTAGCAATTTCAGACCTTTTCAAAAAACCAGCGAACCAGCCTAATTGACGTTTTTATATTTATTTAACTTCACGTTTTAAAATTTTTTACACTTGCTTTTTATGAAATTATACATTTTACAAAAATATAAGGAATTTATTATTCTCAATTTTTTTTAATAATTAGTATAAGTAGTTTTTTAGAAAATTTGAAATACTAATATTTGACAAAAAATAACTTAAGACCCTCATTTATTATATTTATTTAAAAATGGGCCAGACGTGTTCCCATATGTTGATCTACAGCCGGACGCTGACCTTTTTTTCATAATTATAAATTATAATGCAAAACACAAAGTCTACTTTAGGATCCATAAAATTATTAAAATAATAAATATAATTAATGTGATAATCTATCCTTTTTTTTTCTTGTATAACACCAACAAAACTTCAATGGGGCCATAAAGTTAGAACCAATATGAAGAAGTATAAATTAGATAAAAGAGATAGCATGAATAACATAAAGCGGATAGATATTGAAGGAGCTGACCACCAGAAAAGGTGAAAACTAAAGATGAAATATTATAATCTGCGTATTTTTCACTCGATAAAAATTTAACACTATAGCTGAGTAAAAAGGGAACAATTAAAATATTGTAACAGTTACATGATCTAAATAATGGTAACGTAACAGTTAATCTTATTTTGAGGTAAGGGTGACTTAACCATTATATTTTAGTAACAAGGGGCGTAACCAAAAGGAAAGGGGAATTTCCCCTTATCGCAAATTTGTTTTCGATAAATTTTTTTTCTTTATGAGAATAACGATTGATTTCGATAAATCTATCATTAAAAAACACAAATATGATGACTGAAAAAAAGATTAATTAACCTATTATAATAAGTAGTAAACTGGATTTTGCATTTAAAATTTATAATAAAAGGTTAATGTCTTAGAAAAAAAACAAAATACAACGCATTATAAATATCTTTATTTTTTACTGTTATTTTTTTTTCATTTTGAAATTGTTAAATTTTAATTGAATAATCTTCGTATTAAAAAGAGAAATAGTTCATTGATTGATTACAAATAATATTCTTTTATCAATCATTTTTAAGCGGTTAATGTTTAAAAATATTTTTGCATCTTGAAAAGATTTTTTTACCTGAAAATTACAGATTTTGGCATTTTTAGGTAAAATTTGATCATAAATCTGTTCTTCAAAAAATCAACATTGCTTAATACACTCCTTAAAATCTAAGGTAAAAAAGCGATCCAGAATTCACACCCCCTACGGTATATGTTCCTCAATATTAGGTTTAAGTCTAGGTTACTCTTATCTGACTATGTTCTTTTATTGCACTGCCTTATTTCAAGTAGAAACTTCATCGCTACCAGTAACCCTCTTGATTGCTCCTTATGATATGGTTTTGATTCTAGTTTTTCCAGTAGTGCTATAGGTAAATCCAGGATCTTATACATCTCTCCCTTCCCACTAATTATGATATTATCCCACAATCACGTTGTACTTTATAAATTGCATACAAATATTTTTTATATATTATTTTTCCTCTATTAATATTAATTCATAAAAGAAAAGTAATTAAATTACTAATTATCATGTCCATTTTTTAAAAAAACATTTATTATATAATAATAAATTCATTATTTGGCAAAGGTCATTTATATTCTATCTTTAATTCATTTTATCATAATATGGAAAAGAAGAAAAACAATCATCTTGATTTATGCTAAATAAAATCTTATTTTAATTTTTTTTTGGTTTTGGTGTTTTTTAATAAATATTTCATAATCTTGTCTCGTCACCATTTTTTTATATCTTATTAAAAAAAATAATATAAGTGAATTATTTTGGCCAATTGAGATTTACGCCTCATTTATAGTAACCGTAAAGCAGTGAGGGATTTAACGGTACGTTATTTACAAAATGAAGCCAATAGGCATAATTTATAAATATGCAGTAAAACGATGCTATAAAATTTAATAAAAAACACATTTTGCTACGTATATTTCAAAAATTATTATCTCAAATCAGCTGTGATTTCGATAGCGTTAAATACCGCACCGCTTGATCAAATCACGTTTAACGAGGTCATATTAAAATTATTGTTTTTTTAATGGTGCTAATTAATATTAAGTAAAAAAAATCCAAATTAGGGTAAAAAAAAGGTTGTTTTATCTCAGAACATTAAATATTTTTACCATTTTAGGCGTAGGAGCCGAGCTTAAGAAATTGTCTGGAATAAATTTAAGCTCTTAGAAATAAGTCGAATAATGTGAAAATTTTTATATTAAATGTTTATTTTATCGATTGAAATAGAAATAATCTGTTTTTTTAGAGTATTCGCCATAAATCAGAAACTTGACTCTAATTATTAAAAATATCGTTTTAAAAATGAGGTAAATAAATTTTCATAGATGGAAAATTTCAGTACAAATTCACTAAAAAGCTTATTTTTTAATTTATAAAACTAATTAAAAATCATTTACAAATCCTAAAATCAAATAAATGTATTTTTTTTTAAAAAAACTAATTAAATTTTTATTTCATTTTTTTAAATTATAATTTATATAAAAATATTTTTACCTTGGGTAGAATAGAAAATTGTGTTTACTTTACAATAAAATAAGCCCCAATAGAAAAGAAAGGGTAATAAATTATAAAAGAGCTCATTTATGATTTATTACATTGATCATTTAAAATGGATATAGTCAAGTTAACGGGATAAATCTTACATTCAAAACAATTTAATATTGTTTTTTTTATTCATAATAATTATTTTTTTAACTCTTAATATTTTATATAAAGAAGGTTTAAGCAAATCTTGTAAATTTTTATTTTTTTTATAAATGGCAAAAATAAAATACAAAAATGTGACGATAATTTTATAAAAATGAATGTATGAAATCAAAAACGGCCAAATATTTTATTTGTGTTTTTTTTATTAACAAAAAATAACAATAAAATAAAAATAATATCATTTTTTATTTTTTTTAAAAAAAGGCGAATAATTTTTTTTTGAACAGAAAAAAAACCTAATTTTTGTGAAAAGAAAATGTAAGATATAAAATTAAAATATAAAAAGTACAAATGTTGATATTTAATAAATAATTAGTTAAGATCTATTTCATTAATTTTTTAAAAAAAATGACTCTTTAATTTGGCCATATGATAGGGGAGGGTCATTAAATTTCTACTCAAATTAGACAGTTTGCCTAAAAACTAACTAAAAAATTTATTTCGGACTAAGAAGAAATTTATTTAAATTATAAAAGGGCTCAAGAATGTCAAATTATTTGTACTAAATAAATTTTTTTAAGCCTGTCCGATTTCTTTAAAATTTTGTCCATCAGAATAACTCGGATTTCGAGTTTTACTTGTAAATAAATTTATCCTCCAGTTTTCAATCCTCATTCTAATGCAATCTATCATACTGTAAAAAAATAACCATGTTTACATATTTCTATTCCGCCCAAAAATAATATAATTATACATATTAAAAATTAAAGTCTGTTGGTAGTTGAGGGTTTTTTTTTATAATTTAATTATTAGATAGAATAGACTATAGACTTTATTTTATAAATTGAATATAAAAGTTTATTTTTTTTAAATATATTTCAAATATAATTTATAGAAATTCTGAATATATTATGAAAATATTTCAGAATAAAAAAAGGAGGAGGGGAAAATTTATTTTAATTTTCAAGCAACCAAATGATTAATTATTGTTAACAACAAAAAAATTGAATTTATATTATTTCATTATTCATTAGATGATAGTTAATGTCTGGCTTTGGAATTTGATTTTATTGCCACATGGTCATTCATCATAATGCTTAAATTGTTTTTATCAATGCCAACCCTATCATTCTTGCCATATAAATTTATATTAACATAACTTGATTACGTTATTAGTTGACCAATTAAATTAAAATTATATTTAATATTAACCTTAGTGCGTAAGTTAACTAATTGTAAGTTCAAAACCTTATATAAATCAGGTCTTATTTTCTAATAGTGAAAATAAAACTTATTCTTATTAAGATCATTTCTAAAGAGTTTAGCTTGAATTGAATCACAAATTAACCCCCCCCCCCCAACGTATTCAAGATCAGAGCTCAAATTGTCCAAGTTATTTTTTTAATATTAAAAATTTTAAATTACAAAGTCTAACTTGGTGCCCCCTAAAAAATAATAAATTTTGGATTAAATCGATATCAAAAAATTTATTCAACATTAACATTGTAATGTAAGGATAAAAAAATACTCATATTTATAAAACCACACCCAATAGATTAATTTATTCATAATTTTGTTTTTTTTGTTTTTAGTTGTTATTATTTAAAAAACATTATGAACCCCAATTTTAATTTTTTTTAAAATGAAAATGCATAAGTAAGGTTAAAATGATTGCCCCCTTTCATCTCTTGATTTATTTAGTGGTTGTAATTAATTTGTACCTTTATTTATTGGTTATTTTTATAGGAATAAAAAAAGGTTTCTTATATTTTTTGATTAGTTATGATGTGATAATTTCATAAGAATCGTATGGGTGTCGAGATATGAATATTATGCTGATCATTTAGGTTGTCCCCTGCTTTTAGAATGCACATTTATATCCCCCACCCCTCCATTAATAATTATTTTGTATATTTTATAATGGCTTCCCGAATTTATTAATTTTATATAATACCTAAACCAATTGATGCACAGTGGAAAGGATTATATGTAAATCTAAATAAGCAGGAAAGTATAAACAGCTTAAAATGTTTTAGCATCATGAGCTCAGAAGAGAATAGAGGACACTGATAATACAGATTATGATATTATAATACGTATGTTTTTCAGGGACCCGGAGCTAACTAGAATGAACTGCTAAACGGTTGTAAACCTTTAATTTTCTGCTTTCCATATAAGCCTATGATGAACTTCAGCTGATTGTTGATGTGACTTAAGCATTTTATAATAAAATATTCATAATATTTATAATAGGTACGGGGTATTCAAAAAAAGAGAGAAGTTAGATATAAACAACTAAAATTACTGGGAAGTTTTAGGCCTGCCAGATCAATGTAAGGCATAGTAAACACAGTAAGACGATTGCGTGGTTTACTGGATCTTTTTCATGACAAGATATATCGCTTACTGACAGCTGAAGATATTAAAAAATTTGCATATTGGGCTACATTAAAAAAAATCTTTTATCTTCTGAGAGAGTTTCTGTCAGATTATTTGCAAAGGGTAAAGTTGCGCGTAAAGTTTATACTCTTGACTTGATTTTGAAAAGACCATTATAATTCCCTTCTTAGTAAAAGTTAATGCCGTGTACAGGAAGAGCAAAAGCGATTTGCATGGGGATGTAAAAAAATTTTTTAATGTAGCCCAATATGCAAGATTTTTTAAATCCAGGTTTGTTAAAATAGGTTATGCATAACATTCGTTAAATTTATTTACTCTGCCTGCCTGTTCAACAATTTTATACGATATTCGCATTCTCTTCTATTTACGCATTCGTTTGAGATTTACAGATATTGGATTATGTGTTGAAAATTTTCAGTTTAGGGAAAAATCGTAATGTCATCAAAGTTACCTTTTTAAGGCACAAGGATATGATTGGTCAACATTGATGATAAATTTTGCAATCTTAGATTGTGTCTTGTTGTAGCATAGTAGATCTGTGCGCCGCCGGCACACGCTGAGAATTTTATCCACGTCGGAAAAGCCGCCGATTAAGACGGACATGGCCAGGCTCGCTGCCGTTTTTTTGTGGCCCTGGCGCGGTGCACATTATATTTAGAATGCTATTTAATTATATTTATATCGAATATTACCATTAATAAAATTAAAATACGAATTAAATTCTATTGGCATATAATAAAATAGAGTATATCATTTACATTCATTATATTTCAAAATTACATAAACATTAATACATTTTAATTTGAATATTAACATTAATAAAATTAAAATACGAATTTTATTCTATTGGCATATAATAAAATAGAATATATCATTTACATTCATTCATATTCATATATCATATTTCAAGATTAAACAAACATTAATACATTTTAATTTTTTTTTATGGACTTACACTTTTTAAACCACCCTATTGCCAGCTCTAATTGATGCTTTTTTAAGTATCTTTTTAATGTATAAACTTAATATATAACTGATTTATAAATAAATTAATTATGTAAAACTTTATTATTTCAGCTGTAATTATTTTGATGTTTTGTAAATAACTTTGATGTATAAAATAAATATAAAATCTAATAGTGCTAAATTATATTTTAATATGATGCATAGATTTAATGCCATTTTATTCTATAAACAATTAAGGAATAACTGGTTTTCTAAGGTTTTAAATTTAAATAAAATGATTATTAAAAAATAAATTGTCTAAAAAAATAGAAATATGATTCTTCGTCAGAATTGCCTAATAGTACAACCATTAGTCAGTGTGCTCTAGATAATTTTTATGCATGTTTTAAAATGATTATTAAAAAATAAATTGTCTAAAAAAATAGAAATATGATTCTTCGTCAGAATTGCTTAATAGTACAACCATTAGTCAGGGTGCACTAGATAATGTTTATTCATGTTTTAAATCTGATATATTCTGGAGCAAAATTATGTTCCATCACTTTTTATTTATGAACAGATCATTTCAAGCGTCGAAATTATATCACCTTTAGTTAACGTCATTTAAATAAAAATTTTGATTTAAAATATTTTATCCTGACAACTAGAATCGTTATGCAGAAGCATACTGGTGATGGTGAAACCATATTATCTGAGATCGATTGTATAAAAAAGTTATACCATTTAAAAACAGAACCAATACAGATGGTAACTGGTGAGCTAAGGCCAATGTCAAAAGAAGCGTCAGATTGGGGGATTATGAGCATCATTTATGCTTAGGGCGGGCATTGACTTTAATTATTGATGGCATAAAAAAAGTTGTCAGAATTAATATTCTGATTAAAAAAATTAGAATAATCATTTCAGCCCTCAGATATCGAGTAGCCGATTTCGAATGTGAAATTGTGTATGAACATTGTAAATACCTGCAATCAATTTATGAGACAGGCCATATTTTGTAAATTGATTATTCTGATCCATATCTTCTAGAACATTTTGATATCTCTGGTGAGGCTGATAATATAAATTGCATTGCACCAACAGATTTAATTATTGCAAAAAACTTAAAAATGAAATTGTCCTTCCTGCTGGCACAGCATATCCTAGAAATTATCCGTAGTGGTCAAGATTCCTATAAATGTTCTACATAAAATAGGAAAACAATCCTTAAAACTTTTTAATAACGAATGAATATAATTAACGAACTTTACACATTATTAAATCCATTCAGAGAGTCGATGAAATTTCTTCCCTCCCAAAAGGGATCAAAAATAAATTTAGAATTTATCTCGCAGTGAAATAGAAACGCATATATTAATAAATAAACTTGATTGCTCAGATATCATTTGCCTAAAAGAAAATTTGCAATAAAAGCTTGACCATGTTTCCAATCACAGAACTTATAGTAATTTATTATATATTTTAGTGAATAAATTATATTTTAAACATTAGATATTAGCGATATTACTTAATCTTAGATTTCAAAATCTTAAAATTCAGAATATATAAATTTGAATTTTACGACATCATTGCAATTTTCAATTAGACATTTAAAACTTTTAGAGCATGATAGAAATGCACAACGAGATTCAAGTTGAAAATAATGGGCAAACATCCAGTTAATAACAACATTAGCAACATAGAGCAAATGCCATATTTTGCGCAGACAACATAGTATACCAGAAGAGGATGTACTATTTGGA